CTACTCTAACTTGTTTATTAGAAAACGAACCCGATTTTCTATCTTGTTTGATAAAGAACGAGCCTCGAACGTATGTAGAAGCCGTGAATTCTACGGAATGACCAATGTGGAAAGAGGCTATAAAGAGTGAAGTGGATTCTATTCTACAGAATCACACTTGGGAACTTGTTGATCTTCCTCTGGGTAGTAAACCCTTAGGATCCAAGTGGGTCTTTAAAAGGAAGATGAAACATGATGGTTCCATCGAGAAGTATAAGGCTAGGCTTGTAATCAAGGGTTACAGGCAACGCGAGGGCCTTGATTACTTCGACACATATTCTCCCGTGACGAGAATAAACTCCATTAGGATGATACTTGCCATAGCCGCGTTGCGGAACTTGGAAGTTCACCAAATGGATGTGAAAACCGCTTTCCTAAACGGCGAATTAGATGAGGAAATCTATATGGAACAACCCGAAGGGTTCGTGGTTCCGGGCCAAGAAAGGAAAGTGTGTAAGTTGGTTAAATCGCTCTATGGTTTAAAACAAGCGCCTAAGCAGTGGCACTAAAAGTTTGACCAGGCGATGTTAACTAACAGGTTTAAAATAAACGAAAGTGACAAATGTGTCTACGTTAAGGAAACGATAGATGGCTACGTCATTCTTTGTTTATATGTCAGTGATATTCTCATCGTTGGTAGTAATGATCGGATGATCAAGTCTACCAAAAGCATGTTAAATGCGAGATTTGACATGAAGGATATGGGTTTGGCTGATTTAATCCTTGGGATTAGAATCATTAGAAGACCTGATGGTCTCGTGTTGAGCCAATCACATTATATTGACAAAATCCTTGAGAAATTTAACAAGCATGATGGTCAAATGGCTAGAACACCGTTTCATACAAACATTCATCTAACCAAGAACCACGGAGAAGGCATTTCACAAGTGGATATGCTCGGGTTATTGGTAGTTTGATGTATCTTATGAGTTGTACTAGGCCGGATAGTGCCTTTGCGGTGAGTAAACTCAGTAGATATACGAGTAACCTCGGTGCTATGCACTGGAAGGCAATAATAAAGCTGTAAAGATTATGAGATACTTGAGGTATACTCGTGATCTTGGACTGCACTACGGTAGATATCCCGTTGTACTTGAAGGGTATAACGACGCGAACTGGATATCTGATATTAAGGACTCTAAGTCCACGAGCGGCTATGTGTTTACACTAGCCGGTGCAGCCGTTGCATGGAAATCCTCTAAGCAAACTGTGATAGCTAGATCCACGATGGAATCTGAGCTGATAGCCTTGGACAAAGGTTGTGAAGAAGCTGAATGGCTACGCCATTTTCTAGAGGATATTCGTAATTGGGAAAGACCAGTACCTCCAATATGTGTGCATTGCGATAGTCAGGCCACAATTGGGAGAGTACAGAGTCATATGTATAATGGTAAGTCTAGACATATGCGTCGGAGACATAATACCATTAGACAACTGCTCACAACTGGTGTTGTCTCGATTGACTACGTAAAGTCAAAAGACAATATAGCGGATCCGCTGACCAAAGGGTTAGGCAAAGAAGTTGTGGAGAAGTTGACACGAGGAATGGGTCTAATGCCCTTGGACTAAAAAGTTCTATAGTGGATACCCAACCTAGCTGGCACCTAGGTTCAATGGGACAACTAAATTATGGAACGGAGCGCGTCACTGTGGGGGTTTCGAACTCCCTACCACTCCTCGTTAAAACAGTGACTCCCACACGAGGCTAGCATGTTGATGCTTTAATGATTCTGGAGTATGCGGGATACTCGAGAAATAATCACCTATGTTAGAGAGAAGTACGTGAGGCTCGCTTCAAAGGAGAATTGATGGGCAACAATTCTTTAGAAACTCTCGCAGAACCAGGAACGATGACCCACGACCAAAACGGGCACACTCGTGAGAACAGAGCATGGTTGGGAGGTTCCTGTGTGAGATATGTCATCGTCTACACAAACGGCAGTCGGTTCAAAGACATCGCGTTCTACCATACAACCAGTAGAGTAAACATGTCTTCACAAGGGAAGGCTCAAAGGATATAGTGACTCCCTACCTATCCTATGCAGGGATCGACCATTTGAACACAGTTGTTTTCGATTTCAAAACACTCCGAAAATCAATTTTCATTCATGTGGGGGATTGTTGGAAAAAATAGCTTAAAATGGCATAAAATGACATGTTAAGTGGTTATTTTGTGGTACAATTATCAGTGGGGTCTACTTCCGATTTGGGTCGGGTCAAAGTGGATTCGAATTCTTCGTAGTGAGACGAAGAGATTGATATATTATACGCTCAAAACGGATAATGGGTGAATGAGATATTGATTCTCAAAGTAGACCCATTTGAGTTGGAAAATGAAGGGAAAAAGTGAGATTTTGTCCCACATTGGTTTGGAAAGAGGATTTGCCGCCCTTTTTTATACAAGAGCTCTTTTGGAGCTTGTAGAATTGTATAGCATAGAGGTTCTCTCGCGCGGGGGTGGTGCAAATCAAATTCCAACTAGAAACGAGATCGAAAAGGCTTAAGTGATAAAAGCGGCAATACTAGAGATGACAATGTGTTGTGTCGTGCCCCGTCTACTAGAGATGACAATGTGCTGTGTCGTGCCCCGTCCTCGTCCCGTCTACTAGAGATGACAATGTGCTGTGTCGTGCCCCGTCCTCGTCCTCGTTGGGCACACAATGTGTTGTGTCGTGCCCCGTCCTCGTGTTGGGGATCAGACGAGGAGTTGAGTTTTTGAAATTTCCCGGCGGGGACGTGGATACCCCTCCCCGCCCAGCCCCGTCCCCGATTAATTATTATAATTAAAAATAGGGAAAATTTCATATTTAGTCCCTGAGTTATAATCAAGTTTCGATTCAGTCCCTAAGTTATGGCTGTTTTTGAGTTTAGTCCCTCAGTTATGAGCAAAGTGGCGAGTTTGGTCCCTAGCGTTAATATTCTGTCTACAGCTAACGGAAAACTTAAAACCAATTTAATAATAGAGGGATAAAATAGGAATTTCAAATTATAATCCTCTTTTTATGTTGGAACTCGTTGCACAACCGTCATTCTTTTCTTCTTATACCTACAATTGAAGGTCTTTTTCTTCCCCAAACTCTGAAATCTCCCACTTCCGTTAGATATAAGAAGAAAATAATGACGGTTGCGCAATGAGTTTCAACAAAAGAAGGTGATTATAATTTGAAATTTCTATTTTAACCCTCTATTATTAAATTGTTTTTGAGTTTTCCGTTAGCTGCAGACAGAATATTAACGCTAGGGACCAAACTCGCCACTTTGCTCATAACTGAGGGACTAAACTCGGATACTGTCATAACTTAGGGACTGAGTCGGAACTTAGTTATAACTTAGGGACTAAAGATGCAATTTTCCCTTATTAATAATAATAATAATAATAAATTAATTTATATATATATATATATATATATATATATATATATATATATATATATATATATATATATATATATATATATATATATATATATATATATATATGTTAATTTTTTAAAATTACAAGTTTAGTTTTTAAAATTAAAAATTATAATAATTTAAAATTTTGACTAAGAATTGATCGGGGACGGGAAATCTCCGTCCCGCCTAATTCCCCGCGGGGGCGGGGATGGGGACTATTTTCAATTCCCCGTCGGGGATGGGGACGAGGACGGCGACGGGGTCCGGGTTTCGGGGACACTCCCCGTTCCCGGTCCGCCCCGTTGTCATCCCTAGGCGATACAAAAGTGTGTAAACTATAAAAACGAGTCAAAGTAGATTGTCCCACAATAGCGCTCCTGCGCAATAATTCTACCAAAGGTGATCCTATTACAGGAATAGCTTCGGGTACACCTGTTACAAATTTCACTGCCTAATAACCAATTTGGTCCCGAGGTAAGGAATAACCAGTTACGCCAAAAGATATGGTCAATATAGCCAGAACCACACCTGTAACCCAAGTCAATTCACGAGGTAGTATTATTAGTATACCAAATTTATATATTTAAAAATTACATTAAAAGCACTATTAAATACAAAAAAAAAAATCAAAACTTAAAATAAGTAAAAATATTAAATAAAATAAATAAAAAAATTAATTTGACTAATAAATAATAAACGAAATGAGTAATACCCAATAGTACATCCAAAATTTATACTAATTACTTACTCTATCTCATTTTATCTATCATATTTACTATTCATTTGTCAAATTAATTTTTTTTTCTTTAAATTTATTTTTTATTTATTTTTATTTTTTGTGTTTAATAGTATTTTTAATGTAACTTCTAAATATATAAATTATATGTTTTTTTGAAACAATATAAATTTTATATATATATATATATATATATATATATATATATATATATATATGTATGTATGTATGAAAAATTAAAATGAAAAAAAATTTTGCCAAGTGCTTAGATGGCACGTAGTCATCTCTTCCATGTGGAGATCCAACCTCATGAAAAAAATTTTAGTCAGTCGAGAGAGAGTCATCAAATATCAGGATATTTTTTCCCTGAATTGAGGGCTGGTTATCGGTCTAGCAATCACCATCATTATTCATTACAAGGCATTTCCTAGAAGAAAGTTTGAACGAGCTCTTTCAACATTATATATATATATATATATATATATATATATATATATATATATATATATATATATATATATGCGAATGTGTTCACACACATGTATACATATTGCCTTCTGGCTGCTGCTTCTCGAGAAATTTAATGTCTTCTCATATACACTTGAGGTCGAGCTAGGAGGAAGTGTTTATCGCTCAAATGAGTACTTCAATCCACCTCTTGATCGTTATGTCATTTGCAATAAGCTTTGGTGGTGAAGCAGGGCATGGAAGAAGTTGCGGTCCGTCGCCGGCGAAATTTGGCGTTGGTTTGGTTGTGGATGAGCGGTCTCCGATGGGAGAGGCTGTGAAGAAGTGTATTGAAATGGCTGTTGATGACTTTTACGCCATAAACGGTGATTATGATACCAAAATCAATCTTCACATAAGGAATTCCGCCGGTGATCCTTTGCTTGCTTTTACATATGGTGAGTGAAATCCATATATCATGTATAAGTGTATTTACATGTATGTATCTGTGCTGAATGTTTGGTTGAGTCGGATGAAATGACCAAGTTTGACAACTATTTGACGAAATGCGCCATAGAATATTTATCCCTTGCATCGCCCTGATTGGTAGAACGTAACCTCCCAGTACATCTTATAAGGAGTACTACTTTTTGATCAGTTTCATAAGTTTGATAAAACTTGAATTTTTTACAAGTGCTTTTACTCCAAAAAAGTTTAGTCCCCCCTGCAATACTTAATTATTGTTTAATTTATGCTAAGTCACATACAATAGCAGACAATTTAGTCCATTTATTAATTATTGTTGCATTACTTAAATTACTGTTAATGCTAGCTAAGTCACATGCAATAGCAGACAATTTAGTCCATTTAATTATTGTTTATGCTAAGTCACATACAATAGCTGAAAATTTAGTACATTTAATTATTGTTTTGCATTGCAGCTGTAGACCTTTTGGAGAATCTTAAGGTGGGGGCAATTATAATACCAGAAATGTGGAATGAAGTGACACTTTTTGCCAGGCTAAGTGATAAAGCTAGAGTTCCCGTGTTTTCCTTTTCTTCATTACTGTCCCCAAATGGATATCCTTATTTTGTTCAAATATCTCAAGATGGGGATATGGGACTCAAAGGCATTGTTGCATTTGTAGAAAGAGCTAAATGGAAGAATGTCATACTTATACATGATGAAACTGAGTATGGGATGAAAGATCTCTCCCGTTTGATTGATTGATTTCTTCCAAGAGATTGACATACATGTGGTTAACAAGATTACCATTTCTCTTTTGACTGAAGAACATCAAATTATTGAAGAGCTAAATAAGCTCAAGAAAATTGAGACTTCAATTTTCGTTGTGCACCTGTCATCTTCCTTGACGCCTCTCCTTTTTGAAAATGCAAAAAAATTAGGATTGATGGCTAAAGGTTATGCTTGGATTGTATCTGATCAAACTATGAATTTCCTGCATACCTTCAATGATGCTGTTATTGAATCAATGCAGGGATCATTGGGATTCAAATCTTACATTCCAGCTTCAGGAAAGCTTAAAAATTTCACTTTGAAGTGGCTTAGACAGTCTAACATAGAAGCGTCTATGGAGTTGAATGTATTTGGTATATGGGCATATGATGCAGTATGGGCATTGGCACTGGCAATTGAAAAGGTTGGGAAAAGAATCCCTCAAACCAAAGAAGAATGCAAGGACCTCCTAAATTTTACAAGTATTGGCGTTTCGGATGATGGTGGCTCATTAGTATTGAAGGAGGTAATGAATAACAGATTTGTCGGTTTAGCTGGTGAGTTTCAACTTCTGAATGGAGAAGTAGGCTCGAAGACATATGAAGTTGTTAATGTCATGGGCCAAGGGGAGAGAAGAGTTGGATTTTGGACTCTAAATAGTGGGTTCACCATTCATCCATCCTCAAATGAACCAAATAATTGTTTTCATGGTGATCTTGATTCCATTATTTGGCCAGGGCCATCTTTAGCTACCCCAAAAGAATGGTCAGGTAAAAAGATAAGAGTTGTTGTGCCTGTGAAGCAGGCGTTTAAGGAATTCATTGATGTCCATCATGTCGTTCAATCTAATACAACAATTGTGGAGGGTTTCTCTGTTGATGTGTTCCTTGCTGCCATTGGGAGTTTAGAGTATGAAGTACCCTTTGAATTTATCCCTTTTGTGGTTGTGGATGAAAAAGGAAAGCGCCATTCCCATTACAGAGATCTTCTTCATCAGATTTACCTTAAGGTACTCTTGCTTCCCAAATGCTTTTGAGGTCTAATTGGTTTTAATGGTTAATGATCATAATAGTTCAACATTGTTTTTGTAAATATCAAAATACTAAACTATGTATTATTTTTGGTGCTTAGAACTTTGATGCTGCCGTGGGAGACATAACCATCACCTCAAATAGATCTACATTTGTGGACTTTACATTGCCTTATACTGAAGCTGGAGTGGGAACTGTGGCACGCTTGGGCAGTGCAGGAGCATGGTTCTTCTTAAAGCCTTTCAGGACAGATCTATGGATAATTATTGTTGTTTCCTTCATTGTGACAGGTTTAGTTGTTTGGCTAATCGAACACGAAAGTAATGAAGATTTCCAAGGTTCACTGGCTCAACAAGTTGGAACAACTTTGTGGTTTGCTGCTTCAACTCTTGTTTATGCTCAGAGTACGCTATACTTTTAACTCATTAATTTATTTTTTCTTAAACTGAAAGCATGTTGTCTGTAGATGATTGTAATGGATGCAGAGCTAAGATACATACCATATTACTTTTGTTTCAGGGGAACGGATACAGAGTAATCTGTCAAGATTTGTAGTTAGCATCTGGATGTTTGTTGTGCTCATAATTTCATCCAGCTACACCGCATCACTGAGTTCACTTCTGACGTTACAACAAATTCGGCTTGCAAAGGGAGACTATATAGGTTACCGTTCATTCCAAGAAGGAATCATTTTTAACAACATGAATTTTTCTGGAAGTAGGCTTATTCGCTACAATTCACCTGAAGAATTCCATGAAGCTCTTTCCAAAGGGACCATAGGAGGTATAGTTGATGAGATTCCTTACATCAAGAGTTTTCTTGCCAAGTATCCATCTCAATATGCACTCATCAGCACTGCACCAACTACAAATGGCTTTGGCTTTGTAAGTATCTCCTCTATACAGTCATATACAAAAAAATTTGTGGACGAGTACGGGATGTGTATATCAGTATATCACCTTCGTTTTAAAACAGGCTTTCCAGAAAGGATCACCGTTAGTCCCTGAGATATCTCGAGCAATTTCTAGACTTCGAGAAGAAGGAAAACTCGCGGAGCTGGAGGACAAATGGTTTAAGAATCGCCCATCTATGTTAACTCAAGACGACGACACCTCTAACATCAAGACTCTAAATGTTGACAACTTTAGAGGCTTATTTCTCTTGAGTGGGATCTCTAAAGCTATTGCTGTTACCATGTTTCTTTGTTTAGTACTTGGTAATAAGTTGTCAGTTTATCACTATATTCTCAGAATTGCTGCAGGTGGGAAGTTGGCATTTATGATTAAGTACCTATTTTGCAGAAAGGAGTTTAACATTGAGGGACGCAATGAGAATAGCCACAACCATACATAAATCATAAACCAGGCCACCTCCATATATCAGCCTTGTCATATAGATGGTTAGCATTTCTTTCTAGTGTCTGGTGAGTTTTTTTGGGTCATATATCCTAATGTTCTTGAGCCTTGAGGTTGTTTCTTGCCCAGACATGGAATTCATTCTAGTTATCCACAAATCCCAGATGGCCTGTGTAGGGATTATACCTCTGCCCTAATAGCCCTCTGTAAATAGAAGTTAAGTGTAATACATATATGTGTGTATATATATTAAAATTCCATATTTACATGGCAATGACTTTTTTATTTTTTATTTTTCATTTTTTCACCCTTATTTTTTATTCTATTGTTCAAAAGTAGATGAATAAACGGATAATGAGTTTTGTAATTAATAAAGGATTTTATTCCAATAATAATAGGATAACAAAAGTAAGCAAACAAACATGGTAATAAGTATCAAAACTTATATTAGAGTGCAAAAGTCCCCAACCAAACACACACTAAATTTATATCTACATATTGTAGAAAGATTATGCGAAAAAATAATACCTCAAAAATTTTTGTAGGAAATTTAAATAAATCGTGTGTTTATATATTTTGTTTTCTGACGTTTTGATCGGACTACCGCAAGGACCGGCGATGGCGAGATGATCATTGCAAAGTTCAAATCAAAGCATGAAGTCTGCAGTAACTTTTTTTTTTTTTTATTACCACCTCGACGAAGACAACCGGCTTTCACGACTTTTTTGGGCTGACCCCATTGGGAGGCGGACATTTTCTTGCTACATCGATATTATTTCTTTCGATGCAACCTACGGTACGAACAAGTACAGGGCTCCACCAATTTATGCTGTGGGAAGCGTATTAAGAGCACACGAGAGCTAGCCATCGAGAAAAATGTCAAAATTGATCGAAAGTGTGGTGTTTGTGGGAAGTACGCCCACTATAATGCTCATAGTTGTCCTAACAAGTGAAGGGGGAGTAACTCTGGCCCTTTCATTGCTTCGTAAGCCATGAATAACCTTGGTCTGTTATTGATGTTTCCCTCGATACGTGACTAGCTTATTACCCTTCTTTCCGTATATAGTTGTTGCGGTAAACTAGTTTTGCTAATAATATGAGTGCAAGTATGTGCACGCGTGTGCGTGTGCGTGTGGGGAGTATGCGGTGCTGTTTTTTTTTTAGTAGTTTGTTTATTTAAAGGGACGTGACATACTTTGTTAAACACTTTGTTTAATACTTTGATTATTTAGATGGACGGTGCTTTTTTGGGTTTATAATAGTTTGTTTATTTTAATTCCCATGAATTGGCATGCCTATGTTTATTAGTGATTTATAGTCTCAATGACTTTGCATGATTCGAATCATTTTGCATTATGTGATGTGCACCTACAGTACGTACTTCATAGATATAGAGTGCACTGGCACCACATAGTCAAGGCATACGACAAAGTATTGAACCAAGCAAAACAGCCTTGGTTAGCATCGTGCAATGTATTGTTACCCACGCCAATGCACCCGTTTGCTTTATTTGTTATGATATTCTGATTATTTAGAGCGCCATTGCTTGGCTTGCGGCTTGCCTTAATAGCTTTGGTTTCAATTTTAGATGTTGATTTCAGCGGCGTGTCCTAATTTAATACCCCCCTGGAGACAAGGAGTGCACTGCCGAACTATTAAAACCCGGTAACTATACAATCATAAACTAGAGTTTGGGGAACAAAAGAAACTGGTAAGTGGTGCTGCATTGCAAAATGTAAATTACTGGCGGGTAATGTCTCGGGCTGGTAGTTTGTTATTGTGTTGGATGCCGCTACATTGACGCATCTGCGTTACTCTCTGGCAATCAAACTCCCCGACGAATGCGCTCAGTATGTGTATTGACCTTGCTGAGGTGCATGAAGCGCTTACGTAGGTTAACAAGTTGTACGAGTCCACAGTTCCATGTGCCGCATCGTAAATATCCCGGAATCAACAGTCGAAATGGAATGGTGCATCCTTTTTGGTCTCCGATCCGCACGTAGTGTTTGGTGTTTGCTGTCTAGATAAATGGCCAGCATAATGATCTGCACCAAAAATAGATCTCAGACTCAATCCCCCCACCAAAATACTGCTCAAGTATTCATCCCAAATACACCCCACTGATCCTACCCCACTAATGCAACCCACAAACAATATTTATTCACATAACTACTCACCCCCAAATCACATTAGCAGTACACAAGCCAAAACTTAAGCAATAGATCATAACTCTTCATCCCTAACAAAAGTCTTACTAGGAGAGCACTACCAGTTAACACAAAATAGCAGTATGGAAGCCAAAGGTTGAACAATAAATCATAATTCCTCGTACCAACTCCTCTGGTGCGCCACCGTACATGTCTTTGTTCGACTTCTTTGTAGACGAGCTGTCAATAATGTCAAACCGGAGATGCTTGAAGCTTACACTCATCATATGGTAGGTCCCCTTGTGCAGTATTGGCAAAATAAACAGCCAGGTAGCAGTTTTATGGTGTTAGATCATGGGTGACAATTATTTGAGAGATGAGGTAAGGTTACCATATCTATCGTTGACGTGCCAACGTGGTCTGAACTCTCCAGGTCCGTATCCATTCGCTTCTCAAACCAAGCAAACCTCTCATCATGGCTTGATGAAATGCCCACCACAGTCCCAATCTGCATATTAAAAATGGTAAACAATGTGGGATTTAACGCAGTGTACTGGCCAGTGTGTTCAAAGGCCCATAGCGTTGTGCGTGTCGAGATGAATAAGCGGGTTGGGTCTCCCGACCTCTTCGATTTTTCCCTGGAATTCAAGACAGAACACCAGGCGCCTACCACTGTTTTGTGACTTCCCTTAGCGTTAAGAATTCTGCCCATTTTGCCTTTCGATTGGCGTGTTCAAACAGCACCTCATTGCTGCGAAAGTAAACACATAATGTTAGAGTAACAAAACTGTGTACTAAAATATGAAGTGGTGCGCAATGCACCGAGGGTGCTTCATCCGTTCATTGCCCATCTAGGTCAGCGGTAGTGCACTAGTTGTACTCCTGGCCCCGATTAACCAGACTGCACTGGCCTGCTTACCATTTTAAACTACCACACTGCCCACCTCGTCATCTACCACAACATATTTCTATCCAATTGGTATATTTGCCATTAAACATGTATTAAATATTATATCTTACTACAATAAATGCTCCCAAGATATCTTCCTTGTAGTTACTATTTCTGTTATAGAATAGATTTTAATCATAGATAAAACTATTTAAAAACACCCAACTAAGTCATGTTTAGATCTTATTTATCTATTTTGTGTATTTGGCATTATATTAACTACACATGCCTATTCCAGTTAAATTACACCCGTTGCATTTTAATCCCAGTTAATTTACTTCAAGATAACACTCCCAAGAGTTATTACACTCACAGTATACCCTTAATGCACGTTATTATTTTTTTGTGGCACACCGTAAACTACAATTGTTGTAGTTACCCCATTTATCCCGTTCTCGGCCCTTTGCACTACCCCCTTGCATACCATCCCAGCCCCAATTTGACGTATTTTATTTCTACGGATCATGAGCAACACACACAGTATAATAAAGAAAAAAGCACATACTGAACCAGGCGCTTACGCGCGGGCTCACTTTATTGGTATCTACTGTATTTATGGTTACCTCTAACTTGTGCATTTCTTAGGGTGCAGCTCAATTTCATGCATCTAACAGACTACCATTGGGTTTGATAATAAGCAGTGAACATCCCCCCAACCCACTTCGAGCTAAACCTAACAGACCTTGAACTATATGTCGTGATTTGTGCACACACCATGAATCCTGGAACGACACTACATGACAACTATGAGCTAATTTTCTATATAAGCTCTTTTTCTATCATTGAAACCACTCATTCATTTCTTTTTAAACTAACATAAAAGAAATTCTAGACTCTAAGGAACAACAGATATATACTCCCCTGAAAAGATTCAGTTTTGATGCCTCTTATTCTTGTCTACTGCTGACTAACAATGCACTCTAAAATTACATCCAATTCTTATTCATCTTACCCCAGGCAAGTAAACAGGTAACATAAAACAAACACGTTACAAGCATATTTATACGCAATTCAACCCCCTAGAAGAGCCTAATTAATATCAGTCATTCTACCCTGAGTTTGTCAATAAACAAAGTCTAATAATTAATAAATGCCTAAATTGTTGAATTATCTGGCAGAAGAATAACCCATCGCACACCTAGAATTAGAAATTTGCCCTCTTAGTACCCACTACAATCTGGATTCTGCACCCAACTTGAACACCCCATGGCCGCCCCTGCCCCATGCAACCCAGAATTAACACCACCAAGCTATCGGCGCCCAGCAAACACCAACCCCCAAGCTGCCGATACCAATTTTCACATGGAACTAACCTCGCTGGCCCCAACGGTGCACCAACCGTCTTCTTGCCGACACCCTAGCCTCTACCCCGGACGCCGATCGGTCGAAGCCACCGCGAGCACTGGATGGAAGGTTACGGCGGCCGTGTAACGTTTCTAGGGTTGAGAGATTCTTAGAGAGAAGAGAGATAGAGAAGAGACAGAGAAGAAGAATCTGAGAAATTGTATTATGAGAGTTCAATAGCCCCTTAGGTCGTTATTACACTGTTTATATATCAAGGGATTCAACTAACATTTCACTAACCACTAAACGACGCCGTACGCCATTAACTGCCTAACTGCCTCACTCACTCAGACGACATCGTTTCAGCCCATCTCAACTTCCACGATTAACTGTCTGGTTTTCTACTTATTGGAATCATTACATTACCTCCCCCATTTAAGGATCCTTGACCCCAAGGATCGAATGTTGGAAATTGGCGAACAATGTGGTAGAAATCTTCCCATGTTGCAGCTTCTTTTGGTAAGTTTGCCCACTGTATAAGGATTTGAGATACGGCTTGGTTATCCCTGTTAACTAACCTTTTATTCAGTACAGCGAGAGGTTGAGCAAGCATCTCCCCATCCTAGCCAGCCAATGGTGGTTCTAACTGTGGTGTGGTGTGTTCTCCAACCTTCTTTTTCAGCTGTGATATGTGAAAGACTGGGTGAATCTGCGCACTGGGAGGTAATGCCAGTTTGTAGGCCACAGGCCCTATCTTTTCAATCACCTGATAGGGTCCAAAATACTTGGATGCAAGCTTGATATTAGCTCTCACAGCTACTGTAGTTTGTCTGTAAGGTTGGAGCTTGAGATAGACCCAATCTCCCAACTCCAAGGATCTTTCACTTCTTCTTTTATCTGCTTGTTGTTTCATCCTGTTCTGGGCTCTTTTTAGGTTGTCCCCGGCCTGCTAAGACGGCTTCTCTTTCAGAAAGCCAATCATCCCCTCCAATCCCTTGATTAGATCTCATAGCTAACATTGGTGGTGAGTAGCCATATAAGGCTTGAAATGGTGTACACTGCAATGCTGAGTGGAAATTTGTGTTATACCAATATTCAGCCAGGTATAACCACTTAGCCCAAGTTTTTGCCTTGTTAAAAACCATGCACTTTAAATATGTTTCAAGGCATCTGTTGATTCTTTCAGTTTGTCCATCTGATTGGGGATGATATGCTGTGGACATGCTCAGCTGTACTTGCAACTGTTTGAAGGTGGTCTGCCAAAACTTGCTAAGAAATACTCTATCCCTGTCAGTTACAATATTTTCAGGTAAGCCATGTAGCTTATAAATGTTTTCCATGAACAGCATTGCCACTCCCTCAGCTGTAAAGGGATGAGTCAATGCAAGGAAGTGGCTGTACTTGGTAAGCCTATCCACCACTACTAAAATCACATCCTTCCCTTGGGACTTAGGAAGACCCTCAATAAAGTCCATAGAAATTCCCTTCCAAGCTTGTTCAGGGATGGCCAATGGTTGCAATAGCCCAGGTGAAGCCACACTTTCAGATTTGCATCTCTGGCAGGTATCACATCTTTCCACTAATTCCTTAACTGTCAACTTCATTTTCTGCCAATAGAACAAGGACCTCAACCTTTGATATGTCCCTTGCTGTCCAGAGTGCCCTCCTAATGGGGAATCATGCATCTGCAATACCAATTTGGCCCTTAAATCTCCTCTTTCACCAATGTACAGTCTCTGCTTGTATCTGACCAACCCATCTACAATAGTGATTTTAGGGTCAGAACCAGGGGTGATTAAGTTAGCTGCAAGTTGTCCTTGAGCCCATTCATCTCCTTTATAGCTGTTGAACACCTCCTCCATCCACTGAGGTTTATATAGTCAGCACAGAATTGAGGTTAGGAGGAACACAATTAAGTTCCTGATCAGTATCTCTTCTAGATAGGGCATCTGCAACACAGTTCTCAATGCCCCTTTTGTACTGAATAGTGTAATGTAACCCCAAAAGCTTAGATAGACCCCTCTGCTGGGTGGTAGTTGTTATCTTCTGATCCAACAGGAATTTAAGGCTATGGTGATCTGTCATAATGATGAAATGTCTGCCTAGTAGATAAGATTTCCATTTCTCCACAGCATTTATGATTGACATATACTCTTTCTCATATATAGACAGCCCCAATTGTTTGTCTCCAAATGCCTTACTGAAGTAAGCAATTGGCTTCCCTTCTTGAATGAATACAGCTCCCATGCCCTTGCTGCAAGCATCAGCTTCTATTATGAATGTTTTCTGAAAATCAGGTAGGGCTAGAACTGGTGATGAGCACAAGGCTTGCTTTAATTTGGCAAATGCAGTTTCAGCCTCTTCATTCCAATGAAAGGAATTCTTCTTTAGCATGCTTGTCAAGGGCCTGCTAATTACCCCATATGCTTTAATGAACCTCCTATAGTAACCAGTTAGACCCAAGAATCCTCTTAGTCCCTTGATAGTGGTTGGTTTAGGCCAATCAGCTACAGCCTTCAATTTAGCTGGATCTGTATGCAATCCCTTTTCTGATATAACATGACCCAAGTATTCCACCTCTTTTTTGGCAAAAGCACATTTGCTCAATTTGGCCAATAGCTTATGAGTTCTCATCAGGTTTAGAACCTCTCTCAAGTGACTCCAGTGCTCCTCTAGTTCTGGGCTGTAAACTAGGATATCATAAAAAAACACCAACACAAATTTTCTTAGTAAGGATTTGAACACATGGTTCATCAAAGCTTGGAAAGTTGCTGGGGCATTGGTGAGGCCAAAGGGCATGACCCTGAATTCATAAAGTCCCTGATGAGTCTTAAAGGCAGTTTTGTACTCTTCACCCTCTCTCATTCTTACTTGGTGATAGCCTGCTCTCAAGTCCAGCTTAGAGAAATACTTGGAACCAGCCAGCTCAGAAAAAAGGTCTTCCACCACTGGAATGGGGTATTTGTTTTTAACAGTGATGTTGTTCAAGGCCCTGTAATCAACACAAAATCTCCAACTACCATCTTTCTTGGGTACCAGCAGGACAGGAGAAGCAAAAGGAGATACACTTTCTGCAATGACCCCAGATTCTAACATTTCTCCCACCATGGTTTCTATCACATTCTTTTGATCAAAGGAGTATCTGTATGGTTTGATGTTTACTGGCTGTGCACCTGCAATCAGAGGGATTGAGTGGTCATAAGCCCTTCTTGGAGGCAGTGACCTTGGTTCTTCAAATATATCCTCATAGTCATCTAAGATTGCAAACAATTATGTAAACTCAGTCTGGACCATCATCTTGTAACACACATTGACCTCCTCTTCCTTGTTATTATTGCTAACCCCTTCACATTGCACCAGAAATCCTTGTATACCACACTTTTGCCACTTTTTTAAGTCCCTTTTAGTGGCTGCTTGCAGATTATTCCCCTTTCTGGACAGTCCTCTTAACAGAACTCTCTTCCCTTCTTTATGGAAAGAAATACCCAAAGGCCTAGTGTGGAGTTGTATGGGAGCAAATTGGTCTATCCAATCCATTCCAAGAACCATATCACATCCTCCTAGTTTAAGCACTCTGAAGTCTTTCTCAAAGACTTCCTGTTGAATCTGCCACTCCAATTTCTTGCAAACTAAGTCACATCTCATCTTATTCTCATTAGCTACTATGACATTAAGTGCCTGAGTCTTTTCTGATCCAATCCTCAGCTGTAAGAGTAGTTTAGGGTCCACGAAGCTATGTGTGCTTCCACTATCCACTAGGATTACTACTGGCTGTTTGTATATGGATCCAAGTAGTTTAATTGTGTTCATCCCCTCACCCCCCATCATGGCATGTAGGGAGACCTCAGCCTGTTCTTGGTCTATCATAACTCCTTGTTCCTGCCCTTCTGTTATCCACTCTTCTGGTGCATCATGAAATTCTCCTTCCTCAATAACATAGAAGGTAGAGCCCTTGCATCTATGTCCAGGCTGCCAGGATTCGAAACACTTGAAGCATTTATTCTGTTCTCTCAATTGTGACTTCAGTTTAGTCCCTTCTGGTATTTTTGCAGTGGTGTTAAGGCTATTTGAAGCTATGGACCCTTGTGAGTTTGTGGTTTTGGGATTGGGATTATATGGTTTGGGTGAGGGTAGTATGGTGGTAGGTTTGGTGCTGTAGTAGAAGATTGGTTTAGGGTGTTCATTGGCTTGCAAGCCTTTCTCAAATTGTTTAGCGAACCACATTGCATCTGCCAAGGTTCTAGGTTGAATGGTTTTGACAAAACACCTAAGATTGGGTTTAAGTCGAGCCATATACGCTTCAAGGAAATATAGATCTGTGAGGGTGGGATGTTTTTGGATAAGTTGGCTTCTCAATTCTTCGAACTTATCCGTGAAGTCTAAGACTCCCCCTAACTACTTAAAACCAGAAAATGCTTCCATAACAGCCCCACTGTCCTCCCCAAATCTTCTACACACAGATTCAGCGAAATGTGACCAAGCAAAAGGGCCTTCCAGACCTGTTAAGTAGCTTTCAAACCAGAGACCTACTCTACCCGTAAGGTTAACATAGAGTACATGCATCACTTCAATTTTGGGAATATGTGACATTTGCAAGAATCGTTCACATCTATTGATCCACAGACGTGGTTGATCATAATCAAAAGGAGGAAACTCGTATCGATACCTTGTCATCGGAAATTCCGATGTGTGTCTGCGAACTGCCGGAAGCTGATTTCTCCAATGAATGTTGGATCCTTCTAGTTCCAGTTCGTTATCTGAGTCGTCTCCCTCAGCTAGCTGAAATCGAGCTACTGGAGCCTTCCCTGCCCTCCTTGGTTGTGGCATTGAGCCAAGCTGGGAACTAGCAGGATGTTCCCGCCTTGCTCCATTGACCGATGATCCACCAGGAGCCGGATCTATGAGTGGAGGTGGCGGACGATTCAGTCTGATTGTCTCTACAATCTCGTTTTTCCACTCATTCATCCTTCCATCCATTTGAGCAACAAACTTTTCGACCAACTCCTGTGTAGTCTGTCTTTGTCCATTTATTTGAAAGCTCAATTCCGCCATAGTCTTCTCCAATTGATTCATTCTAGCCTCCATTTGAGGGCTCTGATACCAGATGTAACGTTTCTAGGGTTGAGAGATTCTTAGAGAGAAGAGAGATAGAGAAGAGAGAAAGAAACAGAGAAGAAGAATCTGAGAAATTGTATTATGAGAGTTCAATAACC